TATAAGAAATTGGGAAAAAGGAAATTTACTGTCTCTGAAACTTCTCTGGCTGTAGTATTTACACAGCTTGATCTAAAGCTCTATGTCCAATTTAAAATGGAAAGTCTCTTCTCAAAACTAAGAAAATGGCCACAGAAGATTAAAAGGAAAGCTATATGTGAATGCAATATTGACTCTATAGTTTGTCAACCCAGACTTAATAGAAAGAGAAAAAATCCAATGGCACCATTTCAAAACTTTATCTGACTAGGTAGCTTGTACAATTTTTTTAATGGCTATGGACTCATATCTACATGCCTTTTTTTTTTCATTGTACTTCGAGCTATTTTATGTATTTATTTATTTTTGGTATCATTAATATACAATCACATGACCAACATTGTGGTTACTAGATTCCCCCCATTATCAAGTCCTCACCACATACCCCATTACAGTCACTGTCCATCAGTGTAGTAAGATGCTATAGAGTCACTATTTGTCTTCTCTGTGCTATCCTGCCTTCCCCGTGCCCCCCTGCTACATTGTGTGTGCTAATCATAATGCCCCTTATTCCCCTTATTGCTCCCTTCCCACCTACCCTCCCCAGTCTCTTTCCCTCTGGTAACTGTTAGTCCATTCTTGGGTTCTGTGATTCTGCTGCTGTTTGTTCCTTCAGTTTTTGCTTTGTTCTTATGCTCCACAGATGAGTGAAATCATTTGGTACTTATCTTTCTCCACCTGGCTTATTTCACTGAGCATAATACCCTCTAGCTCCATCCATGTTGTTACAAATGGTAGGATTCGCTTTCTTCTTATAGCTGAGTAATATTCCATTGTGTATATGCACCACATCTTCTTTATCCATTCATCTACTGATGGACACTTAGGTTGCTTCCATTTCTTGGCTATTGTAAATAGTGCTGCAATAAACATAGGGGTGTATGTCTTTTTCAAACTGGGCTGCTGCATTCTTAGGGTAAATTCCTAGGAGTGGAATTCCTCAGTCAAGTGGTATTTCTATTTTTAGTTTTTTAAGGAACCTCCATACTGCTTTCCACAATGGTTGAACTAGTTTACATTCCCACCAGCAGTGTAGGAGGGTTCCCCTTTCTCCACAACCTTGCCAGCATTTGTTGTTCCTAGTCTTTTCTATGTCAGCCAACCTAACTCATGTGAGGTGATATCTCATTGTGGTTTTAATTTGCATTTCCCTGATAATTAGTGATATGGAACATCTTTTCATTTGCCTGTTGGCCATCTGAATTTCTTTGGAGAAGTGTCTCTTCATATCCTCTGCCCATTTTTTAATAGGGTTATTTTCTTTTTGGGTGTTGAGGCGTGTGAGTGCTTTATATATATTTGGATGTTAACCCCTTGTCAGATCTGTCATTTACAAATATATTTTCCCATACTGTAGGATGTTTTTTGCTCTGCTGATGGTGTCTTTTCTGTACAGATCTATATGCCTTGTATTTTACTTTCTTGTCCTACAGCTCTGGCTAGGTGTCCCAGTACTTTGCTGAATAAGAGTGGTAAGAGTGAAGTCTCTGTCTTGTTTCCATTCTTAGGGCAAAAGCATTCAGTCTTTCATCATTAAGCATGAAGTTTGTGGTAAAGTTGTGATTTACAAGTTTGGCCACATATCAAAGAGTACACTCCTTGAATAGAAAATTTAATGGAATATAGGTATCAGAATAGAGAGAAACTGTGTCATTTTTGCCTATCCCTCTTTCTCATATAACAATACTTTGATTTTCCCTCAGGGGAAGTCAGCTTTCCCTAATCATTAATACTGCTCTAGTGCAGTGAGCAGGTGAGTCAGGTCTGGTCAATTCATGTATCCCATCCTCTGGGGTTTAGGTGTTTAGTTCAGTAAAACTCAAATATGGAATTTCTTTATTATGTAAATTACATGATATTATATAAAGCTCTCTTTCCACTAGACTCACAGATCAGGGATCAATAAGCTATGGCCCATGACTGAAATCTGGTCTTCTACCCATTTTTGTAAGTTTTACTGAAATGTGGCCACACCCACTTAAAACATATTGTCTATGGCTGTTTTTGAGTTGCAACAGCAAAACTGAGTGGCTTCAATAATGACCATATGGCTCCCAAAACCTAAAATACTACCTGGCCCATTTTATAGGCAGTTTCCTGACTCCTGTTCTTGATAATATGATGCAAACTAGAACCCCAGCTGCAAATATTATGGAAATTTCTGGATTCAGATAAGCCAGAACCACTATACTCCACAACATTTTTCAGTTATGTAAACCAGTAAATCCAGCTTCTCAGGCAAGTCTGAACTGGGTTTCCTTCCTATGAATTCAAATTCACTACATAGATAAAAACCACAATGCTCACTGTAAGAACACAACTCTAATTTCTTCCTCCATTAAATATCCATCAATACCACAAAGATATTTGACATTTCTTTTGGCTATTATGTCACTGGGTGCTAAAAAGTATAATTCATGTAACAATTAGCTAAAACACTGTAAAATCAACTGATAGAGTGTTCTCTTAGGTTTTTCCCCAACCCACCATCCGAAGCTGTTATTGAACAATGCAAGAATCCAACACTGAACAATCAGCCACAGAAAACTGAGCTGTGTGTATAAAGAGAAATGCCAGGTGCTGCCGCTAGCATCTCCTAAAACAAGGGAGATACTCCAGCCTGCGAGAGACAGAGGTTCCCACACCCTTAGCAAAGCCAAGACTCCCAAGGGGGCAGGCCTGACTGATTAGGGACACGGTGATTAGAACCCGAGCTGCTGATTGTGTATTGGGTATGTATCTCCAGTGATGTTCCCTAGAGGCTCTCAGCAATGGGAGACTAAATTAAGCCTAATATTCCTGCCAATTATGCAGTCATCACTTGTCTGTATTTATCTCTCTTCAGAAAACTAAAAAGCACACAAAGGTGTGGTTTTCAATGGAAGCTGTATGTTCCTGCGAAGAAATGACTTTGCATTATGTTTAGAAACAGAATTCCTTTGTGTTTCAGCTTGTTTTCATGTGTACATTCTGGAGCAAGGAGACATGTCTTTCAACAGTATGCTTTCCGTCTGCAGAAGCCAGATGTCAATCTACAGGAAGACTGAAGGGGTTACTAAGAAGACCCATTATATACGGAGAGCAAGTACCAAGTGCTGGGGAGAGTGAGGAGCGAGAGGCTTCCAGTGGAACTGGTAAAGCAGTTTTAGATCTCTAGCTTACTGGGGGGCAGGGCGGGAAGCATGTCGGCAGCAGGGGATCATTTACCCAGACCAAGAACAGTAGGCCCTGTTAGGATGTTTCTTTCTGGGTATTTCCCCCCGTATAACTTGATGAATCAAGAGAGTCAGAGAAAGTACTGTGAAGATGAACTGTGTGAGAATTCTTAGAAGGCAATTCGACATTTTATCTGTATTAAATATGAAAACCAAAAACGTCTAAGGCTAGACATGGGTTCAAACTCTAACTGCCGTGCTGGTACACCCCATGGTTCTCTTCTTCCTTGAAGCAGTAAGATGCCCTGTGCTCTGGCTGGGCCTGTGGTTGTCTGCATTTAGCCTACATTCCCATTCTCCTTTGTAGATAACAGGCCACATACCTAAATTTGGGCCCTGGAAGTGGCATGTGCACCTTCTGGGTCCCAGATGCTTTCATCTCCATTATCTGGCTGGAAAATGGTGATAACAGGAACCACCTTGGAAGCCATGCGCTGACTATAACAGAATGACACTGCTGGGCATGGGCTCCTCGCCTCTGGCTCTGAGAGAAGTTGCTTTCAAAAGCCTCTTAAGATAAGCAGCTATTGTGTTTGCAAAGCCCTAAAGGTAGAAATGTGTACCTGCTTTTGAGGGAGTTTCTATCAGCAGAGAAAACCAGGGCTATCATATATTTTAGCCCAGAAGAATTAAGATTAAATAATGTATAATTAGAGTTTAGCAAACTGTGCCAAAATCCTTACATAGTCCTTTAAGCTGTGCTCTTATATTATTAAATAGTATAAAAACATTAGTTATTTGTTCACACTGAGCTAACTGAACTGAGTTACATATTTGTATACAAAATAACTGAGAAGAACAGTCCATTAATCAATATAAACACCTAACCAGGGTAGGCTGAGAAAGAGACACACAAATGAACTGGAATCATCTATACTGGACACCCAGCTTAACACAGAGCTCTCCCTCAAAGGAGGACATGGCCTGATGTCCCTTGCACTCATTTTCCCCTCTGGATAATATCTTCGCAAGTGATCATTATTGGCTCTCTGACATTTTGGATTCTTTTTTGCCTTTTACTGGTAGAACATGGTGATGGCACTGTTAGGATTTCTGTAACCTTCAGATTTGCTGAACATGAGTTGAGATCCCTGGCACCAAGATAAGATGACTATTCTGGCTCTAGGGACTTCCCCAGGGCTCTTATTTACATGGGTTCTACATGTCACAAGATGCAGAAAAATCACAAGATTACATCACCCAGGGATGGCCAGCATCTCTGATAGGGGAGCACGGATCACATTACCATGCTTACCTCCCTCCACCTACCTTGACAATCCTGCTAAGTGTAATGGGATGTGGGCCACTATGGCAAGAGGCGGGTGAGCCAGCCGGCAATGAGAAAAAATGCTGCCTAATCTGTACACTTTAATGATCACATACCCCACTAAAATGGATTTGAGATAATGCTCTGCATCCTACTTCATGGAGCCACCAATACATACTCAGTCAGCCAGCGTGCACTCTGCCTCCTCCAACGGACCTGAGGGCACGCCAAGCGCCTGCGCGAAGGGGCAGCGTCACGCAGCACCCCTGCCTTAGGACAGAGAGGCCAACGCTCAGGGACCATAGGCACACGGATGTGGTATCAACAACCACGAACATCAGCCCAAGGACAAAAAATGCCCTCTGGTATATTGGTCTTGAGCACCCAAAGCTTCAGGGCAACAGCAAAAACCACTGCAGGAGGGAAGTAACACACTCAGGGCCTTCATTCCTGCTCAGCTGCCCGGAATCGTCACTCACAGGTTCCCGGCCGTCCATGGCTTCCATCCACAGCCTCCGGTCCTCTTCCGACAGCGCCTGCATGGTGATGACCCCCGGCCTGCGGAGAAAGGTCACAGACATGAACCCGGTGCCACAGGTGGAGAGAGCCTGATGCAGGTGACCCTTAAAGCGACAGCCACATGACACAGTGAGAGGTCACTGGCGTTAGGGACCCTGCGAGAGGCAGAGCCCCCAGCTTCTCAGTGCCTCCCTCCAGTCTCAGAAAGCAACGCCGTCCCCCAAGTCCCTCTCAGGAGCCCATCTCCCTCAGGGAGGCTGGGAGAGACAAAAAACACCACCCTACTTACAGGCAAGGGACACAGGTGCGTAAAGGGACCCCTTCAGACCTTGTTTGTTCCTTGAGACCTTACTCATTCCTTTCCTTCAAAATGCTTCACAAAGAGCTTTACTCACAGGAAAAATGAAATAAATTGTGTTAAAGTGAATGGAATTACTGGACTTGAGATACGAAGTCAGGGAAACAGCCAAGCCGGAGGGATCCTGGTCTCCTGATACCTAGTCCCATGCTTCTAAACTGCTTTTGACATGGAGGAGACTTTTGGAGGTGATAGGCTTTGTAATTATATTAACTGCACATAGGGTTTTTTGAGGGTTTTTTTAGTTGAATGCTTGCCACGTCAGGTGCTAAGTCTTTAAAGGCATTGCCTCTTCAACTCTCTCATTGAAGTCTGCTTACTCTTTCCATCTGGGCATAAGCCTGGCGGAAAGCATGCATACAATACCGAATGGTGCCAGCTGTGTTCCCCTTACACACGGCGCTTCACAAGAGGAAACGTATGCCGTAAAAATGAACTTGGGAGCAGGGGAAAAGAGCCCTCTTTGCACATGAAAGGAGATTTTTACTTAGTAGAATTCATATTTAATACAGAATTATTATTCTATATGAATAATACAGATGAGCCCCAGAGAGTCTATAAACCATCTTCCCTCCTCCAACAGTATGTGGATTTTTCTGTAGAAACAATATGAACTATCAGATTATCTATAAAGATGCAACCCTCAAAACGTTAACATTGATCATTTAAACCCTCAACTTTAAAGTTGAGAAAACCTAAAAGGAAGGAAAAGGTCCCCTGGGTGCAACTGAGTCCTACTACTGTCCGAGCCTGCAGCACTGCTGAAGATCCCAGAACATGAATCAGTGCACACACACAGGCTTGGCCACGCATGGGTCTTTCACTCTGACCCACTTACAACAACTGCTCCTGGCTCATTTCCACAGTTCCGACGAACGTGCTAGATCTAGTCCCGTCAAACATATTTTAAATATCACATTTGTTTCTTTTCACTGATCATCCCTCAGTATCTCCTTAAAAAAGTTTTCAAAGATGTGAGCATGTAAATACAGAGGGGTTGAGGGTATGAGGGGCTCTGGAGTGGGGCTGTGAACAACTGCACAGGGCGGGGGGCCTGTCAGGGGAGCATGGGCAAGCAGGGGGTGAGTGGGCGTTCTGAGCATGAGAGGGACACTGATTCCCAAGAGGCGGTCATTCCTGTGGAGGCCATGCTGGGCACTGGTCCCTGACACAGACGACGTAAAGGACACAGTACCTTCTGTCTCCACCAGCACCTGCCAGGGCCCACCCTCCTCTTCTCAGACGGTCTCATTTGCAGACCCAAGTGCCCATTCCCCACCACGGGCCTGCTCTGTGCACCAGGCCCACGGGTGTCTGAACACTGCTGCAGCCATGGCTGCAGAGCTGACGTGCTGGCTTGGAGGCCTGGTGGAAAGCCTTCTCCTCTTCCACCTCTCAAGGAGCCCAGCACAAAGCCATGATGCCTTGGAGGTACAAAGTCTACGAAGCTGCAGGCCACTGCAGAACTCTCATGTCCCTGGACCTGGGTGCCCCTGCATCTTTGAGTGTCACTCGGTGTTGTACCTGCACCACTGGCTTAAGAATTGGGCCTGCCCTTAAAATGGAGATTCCCAGACCAAACCCACCTTATTAAATCTGAGCATCTGGGATCAGCCTGGGAACTCGGATTCTAACCACCCCCCTGGCTGATCCTGGTGCACATTAGGTCTGAGGCCTACTGTCCTGGGCTGCCCACCTGCCCCCACCACTGTCCTTCCTCTTCTCCGTGCACTGGGGAGCAGACACCTCCCTCTCTACAGCAGGGCCAAGCAGCCAAAGTGTCCCCAGGTCATTGCCTGCTAGGTGCTCGCTAGCGAGCACCGAGACGGCATTGTTGCCCGGCACACCGAGACCTCAGGGACCTCATAGCTGCCACATCACCTCCATGGCACACAGGGTGAAATTTCTGCCCAGAGCCACAAAGAGTGAGTTCAGACAAAGTTAGAGGCTGTGAAGGGTGGGCCCCTGGGCTTTAATAACCAGGAAAGTCAACAGGACTTGTTTCCATTTCAAGAAGAAATATCAAAATATAAGTTCTTTTCACATTGTGCTTCAGTTCCCCTTTTCGGTGAGAGGGGTTGTGGATGTAACACACTTAGTTCTAATTCTTTTACCCCAAGTTCAGATAATCTTCTCTCAGCCTTATGTACACACATCTGGATACGGTACCATCCTTTCTAGGTATCTAGAAAACATTCCTTCGGCTCCAAGTTTCTTCTCCCTCATAATTTAAACCACTACTACATAAATCTCTTATGTGTGAATTTCCTAGAACAAGGTAAAAGGATCAACTTTCTTTATTTTGGAATCAAACAATAACTTGCTGCATTTGCCCTCCCTCTGTCCCTACCAGCCACATTCCTCAAAACAATATAAAACAAGCAAAACTCTCAATTACTCTACATTTTCCATGCCAGTCCCTGGGAGACAGCACACTTTCATGTGGGACAATTTAGTTCATGTTTGAAATGCACCTGGCGTTTCCTACCAAAAGTGGAGAGAAAGGGAAAGAACTCTCACTGAGGCGGGGGAGGGAGGGGGGAAGTTGGAATGATGAGGGGAAAATATAAAACAATAAAAGATAAATGGAATGAACAAGCTCCTTCTAGCGCTACAAAGAACTGTAGTATCAGCACCCCAGCAGAAGAACTGCACTAACAACCTAGCACGACATGCCAGATGCTGTGCTGATGGATTCATTTCATTTTCACAGCTACGCGGTGAAGCTGGTATATTCTCATTATCCCACTTAACAGATGAGCAAACAAAGGCTCAAATAGGTTAAATACCTTGTCCATGGTTACAGAGCCAGGATCTGAGCCCGGCAGCCCAAAGCCTGGGCAGGCGTGAGGGCACCACCACCCCAGAGGGCCCACACTGACCAACGTCTCTGAGTCAAGACGCACAGAGCCCCCCTGCGAGGTCCTCGGAAGCTCCTGTGGGGGATAAGGGCTCTGCCAAGTCTGGAGGGCTTCAGAAACGAGAACACCACCGGACACCACTGTAGGCAAACAGCCAATCCTATACCAAAAACCCAACAGCGCCCAGTGTGACTGCGGCTTACGTCCTACAATGGCGCTTCTTCATTTTTTTCTGCTTCAAAATACCCAAGAGATGGAAAGGCAGAGAGTTTTTTAAGAGAACACAAAAAGCACCAATCATAAAAAATATAGATAAAAAAGACTTCACAAAACTGAACTTTCATTCATCAAATATACTATTAAGAGAGTAAAAAGGGCAACTATTAAGAGAAGGTATTTGTAATATTAATCTCCAATGAGACCCATATCCAGAATATGTAAAGTATGCCAAAAAAAAAACAAACTCAATTAGCAAAGTGGGTAAGAGACTACAGTCACTTCATAAAAGATGAGAAACAAATTGGCCAGCAAGAGCAAAAGGTAAGGCCCAACAGGATGATTCATCAGGAAAATGCCATTAAAAGCCACAATGAAATTGTGTAACAAACACCTTCCTGAACGAACAGAATTCAAAAGATCACCAACACCAAGTACTGACTGGCAAGGATGTAGAGTCACTGGAACTCTCAGGTACTGCTGGTGGGAGGATAACTGATAAAACCTGGCACTCTGGCACCATCTACAAAAACTGACCATATACCTACCCTTGGACCTAGCAATTCTACTTCTGGATACATACTGAAGAGAAATCGGTGTGTATGTCCACCGAAAAACACATTCAAGAATGCTCACAATTTTATCAGTGTCTGCAACAAAAAGCCAAATATCCATTGATAAGAGAGTTAATTGTTGTATATTTAAACAATGGAACACCACACAACAATAAAAAAGAACCAACCACTGCTACATGCATCAACATGAATGAATCTCACAGACAACGAGGGAAAGAACCATACAAACAGTAGGATTCCATTCACATGATGTGTAAACACTGACAAAGTCACCTATGGTGACAAGTCAGAGCAGTGATCCCGTCTTGAGGAAGGACTGGGAACAATGACTGGGAAGGGGCACAAGGAAACCTTCTGGGGTGACAGAAATATTCTATAACTTGATCTGGGTGGTTACACAGGAGGGGTGTCTATGTGTATGCAAAATCATCAAGATGGAGACTTAGATCTGTTCAGTTACTGTGATCACACCTCAATAAAAAATGTTTTTAAGTCCCCAAGAGATACAACTTCTCATCAGTAACTTACGCTCACTAGTGTCCTGACTCTAGCGCTTCCTAGCTGTGTAAGCCTGGTGCACAAGTTAGTGAACTACTCCATGCTATTCTTTAAAATGCAGATAATAAGGGCGCCGACCTCATGGGGTTGTTGTGAAGGTTAAATGAGATATTTCTAAGGCATTTGAAAGTGCCAGACACAGAAAATGATCCAAAAACTAGTCGTTATCACAAGGCAAATGGAGGTTGGGGTGGATGGGTAGAGGAAACAGGAAGGCAAGGGTGGAGTAAAGTCGGAATTATGCACAGGGAAGGGCAGGTACATACAGTTTGAAAAGGAAAAGAAATGAGCCACAGGTGCTTCTGATACACATGGCCCCACCCCTAACACACTAGCACACAGCAGTGAAAATCACACCCCCACCACAAAGCAAGCAGGGTAAGGGATGGAGTGACACACAGCCTCTGACACCATGGCCATTTCCTTTTCATCCTGAGAAAGTACCAAAGTGGCCTACTTCCCCTTTTTGGA